TTTTGAAATAAAAGCTCTATGAATGAGTGATAAATTCGAAGAACTTCAGAACCACCGCAGCTGGTTTACACTTTGAGGGAGAATACCCGATCATTTATAGTAGTGAAGAAACGTCACCGTTCAATTTTCTGCCAAGGAAGTGTACACATTGAGATCTGAATGCACCACAGAATATTGTGAATGTAAGGACACGAAGACCGACAATAGGCGCCTTCTCATACAAGTCACCACTAACCCACGCCGACCACGAAACTGCCAGAACAACAAGGTAACAGCAGTCTCAGATTGTGAGTTCGAGTTCACAAAAATCCACCTTGCTTGGAAGTATTCCTTGGATATGAGGTCCACATCAAAGTCGAATTATGTGCTGCTCTCGCAGTCATGATATGAGATGAGGTAGCCCGACTGGAGATAACAGACACCACGATAAGCCAACAAGGTTTCGCTCTGCTTATGAACTAATCTCAGGGTTTTTTAGTGAGAGAGAGTCAGCGAAATCGAACACTACTGGAATAGTTACCAACTGGTAACAATATATGATTATCGCGATTGTCACACCTCAAGTCATCCACACCTTCGTATGTTGCTATACCTATAAGCCCACGCCAGTAAAAACCGGGTCATGTTCACATCGTGCACACATTAATCTCCACGACGCTTCCCCTAATCACACCGTGGTGGTAAGATCGCAAGACAGTCTACTCGAGTAATGTTCGCTATTTGACAACCACACCCCGTTCAGCGCTGTTTGCATGGGCCAGACGCTTTGCAACCTGGACAGTGTCCTGAGAGTGGATTTCGATAGATACCTAAACGCTCAACTGCCTTGCCTACCGTCCACGAAGCTGTGCACACAATGGAAGACATATTCCCAGACACATCGGGAGACGATGGTTACGTAGCACTGATCTTAGATCTCATTCTCAGGAAGTTAAGACAAGGTTTCGTGTCACAGGTGTGGATGTGGATCGCTTGAATCTATCCAAAGTTGCCCCATTCTCTCCAGTACATAGGTTTTCTGTCCACAACCACCAGCTTCACTGTGTGTGAGGGCTGGCTCTTTGGCTGGCATGTCAGCTGCTCACGAACCCAAATGCACCAAAGTCTCCACGTTTTGTTTAAAATATGAGGTGGATCATTTTAACAATGGATCTCTTATTCAACTACACAAAACCCTCAATATAAAAAGTAGTGTACAAATGCAAAATCAAAATAATGGGATGGGGCAGGTGACGAAAGGGGAAAACAAACACAATTCAAGACTCATAGGGCTTCCACATCCGGCAATTGTTGGCGTGGCGTTTCGGGAGGCTGAGGTCAATCGGATGGATTGGACATTCGTCCATTTCTTCGGATTGTTGAAACGTCGGTGGACATCGGGTTTCAGGGTTGTGAAAGTGAAGAATCGGGATGAAGGGAATACCAAAGGGAACAGCGTTGCCGTCACTGATGTTGGACTGATAGTGGGTTGATGGAGTGGGAGTGGGCTGGCAATACTGCCATGGAATCCACTTTCGGGGGTTGCCAGGACACATCCCTCAGTCTTCTCTACAAGCACCGACGATGACATGCTTGGTGTTGGTGGAGGCATGTTTTCTTTGCCTCTCTCGAGGTTGGAGCGCGACATTGCCTCGGAGGCGGGTTACTGTGTCATGCGGTATGCAGGGTTGAAGATGTCGGTTGCCTTGAAATTGCACTGTCCAATGTGACCAGTGCTGAAAGTCGTTGTCTCTGAGGCCGGCAAATTTGCCACACGGAAGTGTGCGCTGATTGGCAGTGCTCTCAACCAATCAGTGAGCTGCCGTTCACGCGTGTGATTGTTTTCGTCAATAAGCATGTTGATTAGCTTGTGTCATGATTCCACTTAACGCGCGAGATCTTATTTCGATGGCAATTAGTAATGGACAACTCTTGAGATGAATCATTCTGGCTGTTTACTTCTTGAGGAATGAGTTATTGTCCGAAAGATGTGGGCGGTCAACTTGAAGTTCAATCAGGTTTCACACGTTCATAATGCCGGGTCGGTCACACACTTCCTTCCATCACAGTTGTTGTATACTTGGATTCAGCAGTCACTTCATGTGTGAAGGAATAACTCTCCGACCCAAAATAAACCAACCATTTCCCTTTCTATTGCATTATTCATCAGATTCATCTCAACTGCACTTGTTGAAACTCTTGTATTTCTCTGTTCTACATTGACTCTGATAATATGGAACAAGTTGGTGTAAAATGCAAGGTCACGGATTTGGGACAGAGCAGCTGATGGAAGGCGCTAAGAGGCAGCACTCATGTCTCGTAGGGTCTACATAATTTTTGACTCTTTGTGAGGCGTATTGGGAGGCTGAGATCCAACAACTGGTCAGCACTTTTTCTGGAATCATGGTATCGGTGGATCGGTACTTGGTGGAGCCACCCATTCTCTCCAGATACTCCCTTTCAGATATTTCAATCACAAGTTTGCGTGTCCTTCTAATAAGCACGCTTGATGATTTGAACGGAGTCAGTGAAGGCGTGTTCTCCTTGCCCCTGACCGCTGCTGGGTCCAATCTCACCTCCTAGACATATCTGAACTTCAAGCATTTCATGTATCACGCATCCCAAGTTTGCGTTTGATTCGTCTGAGTCGATAAAAGCAGCTGTAGCATAAGAGAAGCACCTGTGATGTTGATGGGTGCTCTTCAAGCTGCCATTGACGCAAGTAGTCACGTGATGTGCTAATGTAGTCAGTTGGACAACGTCACATCTTCTAATGTTACCTCCTTGGTAAGAATTCAAAGATAGTTTTCATTAACTGGGTCAAATATTCAGTCTGCTCGACCGCCAGATAATAGGCCCCATCTCATGTGCGCTTACCTCTGTTCTCTCTTAAAGAGTCGGTGGACACCACCCTTGACCCCCGCCAAAACGAGAACACTACCAGCAAGCAAACACAACCAACCAACACTTCACAACTCACGCAGGCTGTTGACAAGTTCACCACGATCTTGTCCTGAACGCAGACCTGACATAATCTCTTTTATGCAACATGTCATCTCACCTGTCCATTGGTCTGGTGTGACAGACGTGCCATTTAAATGCGACCTACTTAACTCAAAGTGGACACATGTAAGTCACTTGAAATCATGACTGAAAATCGATGACCCATAAACGGAATTGTTGAGAATGAAAGAGAAGGTTGCGATATCTACAATGCCGATGGTTACATTCTCGAGTTCATCGACTTATGCAGAGGCAACCAGTAATACTTGATGGAATGATAAAGGCCGAAGGATGGGTGTTGATTTCGGTGACCTTGGAAAAACGACGAAGAGGTCTTCAGAACCACCGCAACTGGCCGAAATTTAGAGTTAGAATTTCTGCGCACTAACAATAGTAAAGAATCGTCACTGTTCACCGTTCCACCCTGGAAGTGTAGAGTCAAATGCCTGTATGCACTACCGACAATAGTAAATTTTATGACACGAAGACTGACAAGTATCGCCTAATTATGCCGCTTGAATACAAGTCACCACTCAACCCAGAACTGCCAATGCACAAATGCAAAGGCACAGGTTGTCAGATTAAGTCCATATGAATGCAACATGCTTTCTTCGCATGACCAGAATTGCATTGATTTGGAAGTATTCTGTAGACATGATGTCCGCATTGACATCGATAATCGATCCTACTGTCACAGCTATGAACTTGAATGTGGTAGCCTATCTGGAAATATCAGACACCAAAAAGGCGACTCGAGTTCTTCCTCGTTGTTAACTGAACTCGGAGTTATTTCAGTAAGAATATCTATAGATGTGATACACTTCTCTCCAAAACGCTAAAATAAATGACCTGCCAACATGGACAGCACAGGTCTGACCTCATGGCTGCTCACCTGTATTCTCTCTAATCGATTTGGAAGTTAACATCCCCGACTCCTGCCAAAACCTGAACTCTGCCGACAGGAAATCCTGTCAACCCCCACACTCACCACCCAAGATGCGATAAGTCGTGTAGCATTGAAAAGTCATTGGTTGAGATTCCAAAACGAAATTCCATCATAATGATACATCCCTCATCCGCTTTGTCTCGCCCCTAACACTCTAAATTTGTCGTTTAGTATTATGTTTTTCTTGCATTTTTTTTCGTTGACCACGCGAACTGTCATTTCTGAGGTCAAATTCGACTTTGCCTTTCACCTGGTACCAGGTCCACCAGAGTGTGGGCCGTGAAAGTGCTCAGTAATGTTGGATGACACTAGTGGCTCCCCATAAGCGCGGAACTGATAGTACGTTTCCAACGTGGTAGTTAAATTTTCGTTTTGTGTGGGTTAGGGTGCCTTACTAACTACTGTACATCCGATTTGATTGAGGTCTTACTGGAAAAGAGCAAATTGACGATGCGAGTTTAGCCTGGCAGAGGTCAGTATTTGCTGCATGATTTCAGCCGGAATAGGTGTAGTGCTCTCTGGTCGCCATGTTTAACGAAGAAAATGCATCAAAAATTTGGCTGAATATGAACATTACCGGAATAGTTTAGGAGCTGGAAACAAAACGTTATCATCGCGATTATCACAGCTTAAGCCATTCGCACCTCTGCTTGGTGCTATACCCATAATGCCACGCCAGCAACAACCACGGACACATTCACACCGTTCACGCATTAATTTCCACGCCCACAACCAAGTGACATCGTGGTGTTAAGATCGCATTCCAAACTTCGCTACTTATATTCGCAATTTGACTGAACTTCCCTACACTGTTTTTGTTCCATTCTTTAAAGGAAAGATCCAGTGCTTAATGGACAATGTCGTGCTAGTGAATTTCGACTGAAATCTCACCGCTGGACAGTTGAATTTACCGTTACCAAACACAAACACAAATACTCCTGTCACCCCAACCACCATTTGAAATTTGAGATGAATCATATCAGAAATACAAATAGAGGAGAAATTGTGGTTTGAAAATTCAAAATCTCAGATTTGGCACTGGCAGGTGACGAATGGGTCTAAGAGACACAGATCAAGTCTCGTATGGTCTCCACAAATGGCGACCCTTGTCATGGCGTTTGGGAATGCTAAGATCCAGAGGGCAGTCTTGAGTTTCGGAGATATTTAGAAATTGACTAAGTGATAGGTGATGGTGTGTTCCATCAAGAAGTCGACGAATTGGGGTGAAGGTGACGTCGGTGTCGGCACTGAAGTTTGGCTGATTGTGGCTTTGCTGTTGGAGGCAGCTGGCGAAACTGCCGTGGTATCCACTCTCCGAGGTCACATTTGCGACTTTCACAGACTTTTCAGGAAGTGCGGTCGATGGTTGGATGGGCGTTGTTGGAGGCATATTTTCCTTGTCTTTGTGGACTGAAGGGTCTATTCACGAGCCTAATTGTTGTCCAAGCATTGTTCTTAGTCTAGCCTGTACTTCAGGCATTTCACGCATCAAGTAGGACAGCGTCTGAAGTACTTCTATGCCGTCGTTGAGAAGAGTTATCTTGTGTAGCCGACGGTGATTCCATGGCTGTAAATGACGAATTCGAAATTAGTGCCCCGTGTAATGCAATCCCATCAAAAAATCGACCAATTCATACCTACGTCGCCACCAACCAGTGACATCGCTAGGTCATTTAGCTCTGTCATCTTCTCTGAAATACATTGTCGACGACGTCTTTCGAACTCCTGTTTTTTGACCTAGGAACAAACAGGCGAGTTTGTTTAAAGGCTGAAACATTGGGAATTATTTGCAATGGTAGATGGAACATACCCTCCTCATGGCCTATCGTTGTTCCAGCGGCACTGTTGATCTGCCTCCGCGTTTGCTTAATCCACGAGTCTGCTGAGGGGACATAATTAAATGGTCAAACTTGTGACACGTGGTGCCTGTGCAGGGGCTTTTATTTGTCTCGGTGAAGTGGGGCGCTCATTGGCTGAGACAGGAGCCAATCACGTGTTAGTGAATGTGGCTCATCCAGACACGTGAGACGATGTGTTCACCAATGAGAGACGGAATGCGTTTCTTATGCACGTGTTCTGATCCCCAAATTATCCTCGTGGCACAAACAAGCAACTTTATTAGGCAGAATTAAAATATCAATTTCTGTATCTGGTTAGTCAAGGCATCTTTAATTTGATCGAATGGCGTGTTTTTGTCCGTGGGTAAAATACGTCAACATTTGAGGCATGAAGCTCTGCATTTTCGGCCCTGTGGTCAGCACACGACGTGTTTCGATGAAAACTTCACCAAATGAACAAAATGGACTGCGCCAAGACAATCAATATAATCGTGACCGCACGAATGTGTCAACTTTGCTCTACGTCATCTCCGACTTACATGATCAGAGTAAGCAAAATTTTTGTGTCAGTGAGTAACTCCCATTGTCGATGCTATAGCGACAGCTTTGAAATTATATCGAAGTTCAGTTGAACGATTTTCCCTCAAGAAGTTGGTGGGCATTCAAGGCGCATTCATGATGCAGTGTAACTAACTGTGAAATTTAGGGTTATACTGCCAATCCTTCGAAGTCGAAGGTACATTTCGAATGAATAAATCATTTTTTTAAGTTTTCAAAAAGCATATCGTAACGCATCAAGAAGTTATTCATTGATATTTCAAACCGAAATTCCATCACGCTGATGCTGGGTTTTCCAAATTGGAGGGTGCTCTATTTGGGATCCACGAAACCGTGTTTCAGTCAACCATTGTCATTGCCACACATCACACGTCATTCATCCCCTTCTCCTCTCTCTCTTGGCACTCCAAACGTGTCGTGCAATATTGGGTTTTTCTTGCTATCACGGAATTAGTGCGTTGTGAATTATCCCAACAATCCTCATTGGATTTCATTCCAGATGCGTGGAAATGAATTCAGCAGATGGGAAATGCCGAATTAAGGTTAGATGGGTCGGTTGTAGGGGTGCTGTGCCACCTTCACATCTTGTTGGTGAGCACAGCTCTCTGGCAACAAGATGATCTTAAATGACTGCGTCCTAGTGGCTTTGCATGATGTGAACACAACATGAATTTGATGGTATCGTCAGTGAAATGCGGCCACTGGTCGAAATTCGTTCAGAGCAGTTCTGCTCATGGGCATTATTTTATTGTGGCGGAAACCCAGTTTTGACAATCGTGGTCAAACTCGTCATGGCTGTATTTTCTTGTTTTAATGAGGTTAACGTATGTGTGCGCGATTCACAGATCGCCCAGTTTGTGATGGAGTGGGCAAGGCTCCCCCATTATCCCTCTTCTTCACCCCCTCGAATCCTTCCGAGAGAGGGGTAAGAATGTGCAAGAGCTGCTTGGGATGTGTCTCCGTAAATTATCGTCCATTCATCATTTACTCATCTACGCTTGTACCACTAACTATAGGAGGTAATGTTGATGTTGGCGATCAAATCTCATGTTCTCTACAGACACCTACCATTGGGCAAAACCGATTGAATTTGGCACTAATGCATGACAAGCAGAATGTCATTCGGTGGTGCGGAATTGTTTTGTGTCAAGATGTGACAGGTCAGAGTGGTTATCAAACATTACCAGGAACCAGAACAAGCTCTTTCACCGCCAGCCTTTCACTCTCTCTATGTCGACGCCTTTCCTTTTTCCTTGCGCAACTACCGATGGATCATTCTGACTGCTGCAGGTCGAACCAACAAGACGTCGACGACACCTGTTGACAAGGCCCAGAGAGGATATGTGAAAGAACTGATGAAGGCGCTTGGCTAAGTGGTGGCTGAAATCTCCTTCAAATCCAACATGTGTTCCCAGGCATGGGCAGCTGCTAGTAGTCCCCCTCCACTGAACACCTGTGTTGTACACGCGCTGATGAAATGGCTTCGGGGACTCCCTTAAGTTCATTTCATTCGCTTCACTGAGCATCCACCTGAGACGGTAGCCAAGTGTGGTGTTAACATGGCGATGTTACCACGGTAATTGGAATCACCACACACTGTGAAGTGAGATGGATCATGTCATGTTGTGGGCCGAAGAATGTCCATCTCCGAACGTGCATTGAAGTAAAACGTTATATTGTGACGACACTAGTGACAGCGGGTCAGGAAACGGGTGGTGTATTGTCGAATAACTTGGCAAATCGCAAGGCAAATACAATCCGGCTCGATGCGAATTCCAAAAGCGGTGTCATCGTTCATCCCTCCCCACACCCACGAGGCTTTTGGGAAGTCGACAGCCAGGGTAATCCACGCTAGCAATAAGTAAACAAATGAGTTGTAGGCGATGAGTGAAGGGCGAGATACAGGCGTTTGACCCCTGAGTGTGTTGGCACGTTGTGTCTAGACAATGCGTTCTGCTCCCTATACCCAAACTAGCACGTGTCTCACATCACCGACAATGCGGTGTCTGCAGCTTTGATGGGGCTCAGTGTTGGAGTGAGATCAGAGCTTGTGGCGTCAGTTTGGACCACATTTTCACCCAGGTTCCTCGTGGCATCCTCCCTCGCATGCCATTTTGCAGCCGAGTGTCTGGTAATCTTAACCCGTTTACGGCATTGTCACATAGACAGTTATTGTTGCAGAAGCCTTGTGTGATGTTGAGAAATTGAAATAGGCACGGTCTCACGTCATCAGTGAATTGCTGTCGCTTTGAAATCGATAGATAGCCAAGTGCATGAGCAACAATGTGTCTAGTACCCGTGGATTCCAAGCGATGGAGTGAATAAATGAGCACAAACTACAGTTGATGGTGGGAACGAATTCACCGTACCAGCACGGGTCGCAGTAGCCGTCCAACGTAACCATTGCCACATCTTTGAGAAGCAGATAACCACGCTATTGGTTCACTCGTTTCTATGTCTATATGCTGTTGGCAAACAATGCAACCTGCTCAAGAGTCGCCAGTTCATGCAGCCACATGAGCTTACGTGGCTGAAGAGATTGGCTGGGGCAGTTTGGCGTGGTCTTTCTTTCTATCCTCCGCCCCTAAGAAGAAACCACTATCCAACAGACGACTGTTTTCTGACTGTTCCAGCCAGGTGATTTTCTGGCAAACGTGCATTTCGACAAATGCGTAAATTGCAAGCCCAGTTTGTGACTGGTATGAAGCAGTTATAGGTGATTTCCAAAGTGCTGTTTGGCATTCATTACAAACATCCCCACAGACTTATACAGGAGTTGGAACATAGCTTGAGGCATGCCGTACACGTCAACCATTTGTTTGCATGGACGAGGAGTCTACTTTGTGGAACGCAGTCGACAATTAACTGAAGCCAGCACGGATGCTCACACGCGTATTTCGAAGACATTATGGAATTGCGATGAGAGTGCATTTCATCGAAGTCACCAACATGGCATGAAAAGCAATGATGCTACCGCTCCTTCTTTGCCACGCCCTTCCAAATGTGCACCGTAGTAGTGCGTTACACCACCTCCGCAGACGTGGCCTCTGAGCAAATGAGTATGAATATTTCCATTGTTGGCAGAACACAAAGTCAAGTAGGAAATGAAGCACAATTATTCTATCATGAAGACAGAGTTGTCGATGACCTCAAAATATCGAACAAAGTGGTGCTAGATACCGATTTTGAAATTGCAAAAGTGAAGAGTCGAATAAGGAGGCGGCTTTTGGGCAATCCAGACAAGTACTTTGGTGTTTCCGATGCTTCAGTCAGCAGAGCAAGTATCGTTGATCCGGAGAAAAACGTTGAAGGTTACGTCAACAGAACATAATTAGTGGGGCTCCTGAGCATCCAAGCTGGAAATGCGCTTACGAGGGATGAAGGAAGAGGATATGTAGTATGGTGCATTTCGATGGACATCCGTAGACGTTGAAGAGCCACAGCTTGAGTTCAGGCTACGCATTCACTAGGGCACTGCAACGGCTGAGTGCAACGCTGCATTGTGTGGAAATGTCCGCTTTCTCGGGGCTTCGACGACACAAAAACCGCGTTCTCCGCTTCCTGCACCGATATATCGAGCAGATCACGCACGCAACGTGAGAGATCACGTCAGTGGGCATTGATTTGCCACAGCAAATGCGACTGTTGCTAGGTCGTGAATGCACTGACTTGTGGTGCACGTGGCACGCGAAACCACACGACGTCAGTTCTAATCGGACCAGTTTGCACACCTTCATTCAACTGGCTAGAGACCCACTCGATGTGTTCACCGGCTACATCTCCTTCACTTGTCCCACTGCAACTTGTTTTATAATTTGTGAAGCTTACATCACCCAAGTCTTCAGGGATGACACGAAGGACTAAAGTATGCAGAATGCAAATCTTGTCAGAGATGCACGATCAAAGTCACCCATTTCTGGTTATCTTCAAATGTACATTATTCACTTTTGAAAGCTGTCATTGAAATTGTCTATTCTTAACAGAAGAATATTGCCAACCATTCTATAACCATTGTCTCGTAGGTGGGCTGGCGTGGACATTCGGTGCGTGGTGTTGCAAGCATCGGTTGTTCAAAGATTCATTGAAATTCCACTGCCCACATTGAACACTGCACAGGCACTGTGCCTCCAATATCCTCAAGTTTACCACATATCCCATCGACACAGTCAGTTTTCTGAAAAGCTCAATTATTTCACAATGACGGAAGTCAAATCCAAACAATCTAGATCAACATCGTCATGGTTGGAAATCACAGTAAGTTGCAAACCTAAGCGTGATTCACAAATCGCTGAGTTGGTGATGGAGCAGGCTTGGCTCCCCCTTTATCCCTCTCCTTCACCCCCTCGAATCCTTCGGAAAGGTGGGATAAATATCATGGGAGAGGGGGGAACAGGTGCGACAACTGCTTGAGCTCTGCATCGTC